TTTGGATATAGTGCCAACAAACAGAATAAATATTACATGTAGATATTGTCTTCCCAGATAGCGCATACTCAATTCTGCCTAAATTACAAAACATCATTTTTGCCCACTCCCAAAGGTTTAAGGTAAGGAAAAAATTGATATTTTCAAGCACTATGTACACATATGGGTGTTTCCATCGGAAGGTCCACCACGTCAAAAAAAATAAGTCTTATATCTAACGTATTTACAGACCGATTTGTCTGCTTTTTAAAATATATACTGGCTATGTAAGTAGAATCATGTTTGAGTAAAATGGTCTTCCTAGGTGGCGCCAAGGTCGAGATATTTCGAAAAACCGTATTTCGATGGCTGAGTGGAAGATCGACCTATCTCGGCAGCCAGTTCGAAAACATTCTATCTCAAAAAACTTTTCAAGAACGCCCTATTTCAGAATTCGTTTCAAAAACGCCCTATCTCCACCAACGCATCTTAAGTGTCTTAACAGTGAAACAATTTCTTATTTTCTTCTTTTGGGAATAAAACTTCACACTTAAAATTAAGACATTTATAACAAAAATTTTATCAAGAAAATCCCTTCTTCGTTTAAAATAAAAATAAGCGAAATCGGACCAATTTCATACAACCCTGCCTGACATGAAAATTTTCTCCTCGATAAGGCTAGTAGCCATTTCTAACAGATTTTAGGTCGCTTAGTCAAAAATGGAAACATATATACATATTTGAAATTTAAGAAAACAAGGCAAATAGCAAAATCGGCTAAAAACGGCTCACTTTTTTCTGCAAAACGGCTAACAAATCGGCTGCCGGCTAAATCAAAATTTCTCCGGCTGTTTGCTATCGCAACCGGCTAAATCTAGCCGGAAAACGGCTAAAATGGCAACACTGGCAGTCAGTTGACTGAGCTAAGTTGTTCTCCGTGTATTCAGCGCTTTGCTGGGCTATTTTACAAGAATTATTGCACCCCATTTGGAAGTCAACAGTAATATAAAAAATATAGATCGCATTTAATTATTCTATTTTGCGTTTGTATTAAGCGCCGTATTGAATCTTTAGCTGCGCTTCGTTATCTTGAGATTCACATTTTTACACAAATCAGCCGATTTTTGTTATTCATCGCTGATATGTCACATTCTTCTATTCGTAAAATTCGGAAAATTCCATATTTGCTTTGAAAATCCATGAGCATGCTCTATTTTAAAAAAATGCAGCTCCGTTTGAAAACATGTATGCGAATTTTTGTGTAATTCAAAAAAGTTTTGCATACAAAAGTGTTGTAGCCGATAAATAAGAAGCGGTTCAATAACCCGTTTGTACAATACAGCGTAATAATGTTTCAATTGATTTGCTACTTTTATAGTCAGTGCCACTTTACCGCACTCCCTAATGTATAGAAGAATTTCAAAACTAAGGGCTATTTTCTCAAGTAGCTTTTAAAATTTATCTGTCCTGCACATTTTGTAAAACAAATACTTCTTGAGAAAACGGCCCTAAATAAACTTTATTTAGAAAATTTTCTCTTACAAATTGTGTCAATTATAAAGTTCCTAGGTTACGAAAGACTTTTGTTTTTCGATTCAAATCTGCAAGCTTTGAATTATTTTCGCTTAATACCATAAAAGTGATGCAGCTTTCCGAAATTGAGCTTTAACTACCTAATAATTTTCTTTTTGGTATATCAATAATTCTGCGCTAATTTATTTTAAATCCCTTCCGATTTTTCAAACTCTTTGCACACTTAACAACAAATTTTTATCTATGAAATTTTTATAAGCCACTTTTTATTGAAATCATAAATTCAACAATTACATACATATATTAAATGCGTAAGTGACAGCTTGATTGTTTAACAGCCCGGACAATCAATGCTTTTAGCTATTCAGCATGAAATTGCAGTGAGCTGTTGGAATACTTTAAACACAAACAGGCATGTGTATACACATTAATTATTAATTTTCCATTGGTTTATAATAGTAATATGGCACGAAAAATCTAGCTCTTTAAATTATTCAGCGCTTCAGTTATGCAAACTATTTTTAGTTAATTCTTGCAAAAATAATGTGATATCTTTTGCGTATTAAGTGTGATTTTTAGTAGCCAAATATCATTTCACAAAATATCTGGCACCTATTCAGCACACTACCAAAACCTTGGTATGTATTTTCAATGTCACAAGTTCTAAAAAGTACTATTCAGCGTCGATTTTGAACCATATTTGGGGCATTGACAGTCGCTAATCAGTATTCAGCGCCTTTAAAGTGAAAATTGCTTGCCTAATAAGTTATTCAGCGCTGCTAAAATGCTAAATTTGTGTGTAAATATGCACTTAGAACGTGTAACAACTAATTCAGCTCACTTAAAATTTAAATAAAGCAAATTTTAAACTTTGCACAGAACAAATCTATTTTTTAGATTTCTATATTTAAAGTAAACAATTTTCCTTTCAGATTGAATACCCCAGTCCTGCTGCACCTGGCTATGGACAAAGTACTGAGACGCAGAGTCTAATTGATCAACAATTTGCGGAGATAAATAAACAATTTAATGAGCTGAATATGCAATATAATAGTATCAGCAATGCAGAACAACCGCCTGCTTTCTATAATCCAGATACACAACAGCAACAGCCACAGCCACAGCCACAACCACTTCATGATTTGAAAGCTGATCCCTATAATCAACAGCCACAACAATCAGCAGTAGCTACGGCCGATTACAACAACCTTCATGGGAGCGCAGATCAGCAAGCACCTGCAACATACACAGATGCCGCTGCGCAAAAGTCGGTTGATGCCAGCGATGCCTATGCTTACTACAATCATCACCAGCAGCAACAACAACAACCACAATATATGCAACCAGATTTACAGCAACAAGAATCACACTCAATCCCATACTATGATCCTACACAGCAACAACAACAACAGCCACAGCAACATTATCAAGGTTATGGCGCTGAATCAATGGCTGCGCAAAATAATGCTGGGGCCTATGACTATTGGGCACAACAGCAACAACAACAGCAGCAGCAACAGCAACAACATGTTGGTTATGGTGATGAGGTAAGTGGAGAGCATGAGAATGTGCGAATATTGCATTGAGTGGATCCTTCTGGATTTGGGGTAGTTAGTGTATGGTGAGGGGATAAACAAAAAAGGGCAGATTCATGAAAAGAATGTGTATGAAGGAAATTTGTTGATATGTCTGAGAAAATGTTCCTGGCTTGCATTTTCCAAATTGCGCATAGATACACAAATATTTATATAGCTTTCGCACGGCGTGGAGATGAAAGGCTATGTTTGGCAGCTACTGAAAATACCAAAATGGCCAAATAAAAGTGTTAAAGAAAAATAAAACAAATGCTGTGGTGCGAAGATACAGTGTCTTAATTTTTGCAAAAGTTGTTAAACAAGAAATTACTACTTATTGCCGTTAATTTGTCGACTGATTGTTCTAAAAGCTTCTAAAACATTCAGAGGATTTTGAAATTATTGGAGACGTATTTATGTGTAAGTTTCTATAATTGAAATCATGTTTGGACACTTTTTTGTAGAGTTTTTATTCCCATTAAAAATTAGTTTTGGAGGTTCTAGTGTTATTTTAATGCATTTACATTTTGGAGACTTTCGAAAAAGCCGTGTAGACTTTCATGTAGAGTTTCTAAATTAGGGCCATCAATTGAAAACTTGGCGACTTTGAAGACATTTTGGAATGCCATGGGGAATCTTGTGGCGTTGTAATTTCGGTTTTTTTACAGTATTTTCTCTCCCTCACTTAATAGTTTCTATTAGTATATTAAACCTACATACAAATGTATGTATATCTAAATTATGTAGCACAATTTTCAATAGCTTTTTTTTAAAGAATTTCTAAACTTGTATCGCTTTCAAAAAGCGACAGACAACAACTTTGGAAAGTTAGTAATCATCTTCCTATTATACTTTATACTTTTATTTGGCCAGCTGGGTATTGCTTAAAAATTTATTTACCTTTCTCATGAATTTACCACAATCCTACCAATTTGTACACATGCTTACCATAAATTTTACTGGATTTGATGGAAATATCGCCACTGCAGTACTCTACAAATGATGATAACGCTAATGAACTAGTGTTAGCAGCAACAGAACCAGCAGAAACGCCATCTCCAGAAGACTCCGCTAAAAGTGTTGAACAAAATTTAAAATCAAATGATGTATTAACATTGAAACAAGCGCCTGCCAAGGCAAGATCAACAGCAAAGACATACACAACCACTTTGGAGAGTGGCAGCAAGTTGCAGCAACAACAACCGTTGAAAATAACCGCTGCAGCAGCCAAATTATATAACAGTTATGATGGTCCGCAGACGCGTGTGGCAAAGAAGCTTAACACCAATTACAAGAACAACAAGGAGCAACAAAAGCAACAACACTCAGCGAAACTGGCTACATCTTTTCTAAGTTCGCCGCCAGATGTAAGTAAACAAAGTAATGTTTTGCTACCGCAACAGCAACTTCAGCACCAACAGCAGCAGCAGCAACAGCAAAAAAATCAGGTCTTGCCAAAAATGCCAAATAAACTGCTAGAGCAGCAACAAACGCTTGCACAAAAAATAAATGCATTTAATGAAAAGTCAAATAGAAATTTAAGCACAAACCCGAATTCGCATTCGAACGGGAGCGGTATAGTAAAGCGGGTCAATTTCAATCTGCCGCAGGAGGTGGAAGTGGTGGCGGAGAGGGTAGAGGGGCCCAGTAAGAAATTGCCACCACCACCATCACCTACCGGTGGTAGTGTTGCCAATTTTAGTACTAAAGCTAGTTGTAGTAGTAGAAATAGTAGTAGTAGCGGGAGCTGTAGCAGTGGTAGTAGTAGGGCCGAAGTCGCAGTAGCGCACGCCAAGGCGGTCGCAGCTGCGGTGATAACTGAAAGTGGAGACACTCAAGACGCTTCCAACAAAGGCTGTGTTGCATCACAATCCAACAAAGCGCTCACCAGCTATCCATCAAGAAACACCGACACTTCCAGCAAACCTCTTTCACTGCCGTCGTGCAGCAGGCATGCTTCTAAAGGCAATAGCTTAAGTAGTGGCAGAGCCGCATCTCATCGCTTCCACACATCACCGTACAAACAAATCGTCTACAACGGCACCTATCCCATCGATATGCCCCTGCAGTCGCGTTTCCAAGCGTTGGGCCGCGACTATGATCCCGAAGCGAATGCTGAAACGGCGCGTTGCAAGTATGCGCACATGCTGAACGACTATGATTTGGATGAATGCGATATACTCGGCGATGTGGCAGAAGAAGATGAGGACGAGGATTTCGATGAGGATGATGATGACCTCCTGGTTGATGATCTAGATGGGGATGTAGAGGGCATACCATATGATTTGGAAGAGTTGATTGCTCAACAAGAGCGCCCGCAGCGAAGCTTCTTCAGCCGACTGGGTATCATCAAAGAGGCGAGTAGCGTGTCGTTGGCTAGCAGCAGCGGCGGCACCGCCGGCCGTGGTGGTGATACTGTTTCCACTAGCAAACATCATGCAGTATGGTCTATGCAGGAGCTTATTGCCAATCCATCAATACCGCTAAACTATGAGAAGATGTGCCATGAAGTTGAGCAAAGTTTGACGTCATTCGAAAAGTACCTGGACTCGAAATCGATTGAGCAACGGAAGACGCAGCAGCAGCCAGTGCGTACCTTCGATGTGGATGGGCCGATTGGAGAGGCGCACGAAAAGAAACATATTTAAGGGGCAAAATGAGGGCAGAGATTTAGCGATTTAGTCGTTGTGCAAAAAACTGTACACATACCCCTTAGTTGGAATTTTATTAGAAGTGTGTAGAGAATTTTACTGTACACTTTACTGCTTTCTTTACAAAAAATTTTTATTTGTAAAAATGGCAATTCTTAAAAGAATGTGGTTCGGAATACTGCATTGGGAAGTTTCGTTGTTTTTAATTCACATCATATGTATGTATGTATGTATAGATATGTTATATGTTTACTGTGTGTATTAGAAACTACATATTTTACCTATATTTTACCTTTGTGTATCAGGAATACATACCTCCCTATATTTAGTTCAGACTCGAATTCGAAAAACTCGAAAATGTATGTATCTCACAGTATATTATAACCCATTTGCACCAAAAGCTTAACTGCTGCTATTTTTTTCGTACCTTTTTGCTTTTAGTCTTTTGTTTGCTTGTACTTTTCATAAGCAATTACCCCCTTCGAGTTGTAATCTCCTTTTTCCAATAGTTACAAACTGCAGTTAAGGCTTGGTGGAAATGAATTGGTTAGATAAACAATATAAAAATATCGAATTTATTTTTTTTTTTTTATGAGAACTCATACGCACCATTTATCCGTCGCTCGAATTGTTACTCAAAATATGAACTCATCTTAAGAGTACAAAAATGTAAAAAAACTTTTTTTTGGAGGGTTCGTAAGCACTCTTTCTTTCTTTCAGGTACAATAATAAACCTAAAACAAATTAAGAAACTACTCCTTTGATTTAAAATATTTAATTTTAGACCAAAAAAAATTTATCATTTCCTAATGACGTATTTCCACTGGGTGTTAAATGACAAAAATTTCAATGAAAAAGTTAGCTTTTGAAATATACCAATCGGTTTTCACATGCCTTTGTTTATATGGTAAACATTTATTGTGATTTTGTCATTTTTATGCCTAATGGAAATGGTATAAGAAATTATTTTTCTCTGGCTACCAACATAAATATTTTTTTAAAAATCTGCCAGGTAATTTCTTTTTTATATGTTGAGATTTGAAACGAGAATGAGTTTCCATGAAATTTAAGACTGAAAATTTTAAACCTATTCCCCAACCTATTTCCCAAATATCTTCAAAAAATTCCAAAAAACAATTTTCAACGTAATGAAACAGGGGATTCTGTCAAACTCGCCTCGAAAAAAGTAGCGGGACTGCTGAATGCGCTTTCTCCTTCGCTCTACATCTTGGTCATACTGGCATATTTAGAACATTTTATGTATGTACATTAATTAAAAATATTTATATTTTTGGCTTTTGTAAAATTCCAAATTGGCCAAATAGGGCCTTTCGCACTGAAGGTGACAAAAGTAAAAAAAATGCCGTGTGGAAACGAAATTAATGACCATTTTTTGTAAAATTAATGACGCAGGTATTTTTAACGTCCAACTTTGTCATTAAAATTACTGTCATTTAATGACCGGTGGAAATGCGGCATTCGAATTTTCAAATTGAAAAACCCGATACACTTTAATCTGACAAGGAAAAAAAAAATTTGGTTTTTATTGTAGTGCAAATTTTTAACATTTTGAATCATACACAAAATCTGTAGAAAAAGACTAAATCTAAAGTTTTGAAAATTTGTATTTAAGAAATTATTTTTGTAATTAAAAAAATTCATAACTTCACCAACACGTTTTTGTATTAACAAATAAAAGCATTTTTAGGTGAATTTCGTTATGGTAACAATTTGAGCGAATCTACCCATATTTTTTCCATAGAAGTATTTTACAAAGATGTATTAAAACTATTTTTTTTTATTTAGTTTGTGAGATTTTGATGTTTTAAATTTATATTGCGTTTCTGTTTGAAATGTGCAGATATGTTTTGAACATTTTAAGTAATTAAAAAACAAAAAAATAAATTTGGAATATCTATTAACTTTTTTAAATTTTTTTTTATACATTTATCACATAATTTTTTATGATGTTTTTTAATATTATTTTATGTTTTCGTCAAATTGGCTACGAAATTGCATAAACACATCTTGGCCCCAATAATTTTAATTATTTATTTTTTATACCTCTAAAAATGTAATGGCATTGAGAAGACAATGCCTCTTAAGCGTGGCGAGCCCTTTTTTGATATAATAAATAACACGAGACAAAAAATCAACAAGTTTTCGCTAGCAGAAAGTATTTGTTTTGTCTTTAAGGAACTTATTTTTTCATTAAACATTAATACAAAAATTTTAAAAACTGAAATTGTAAAGTATTGTGCTAATTGTAAGCAAAGCGACACACAAAAAACCAAACACAAAAAAATGTGCTGACATGAATTGTTTTTCTTGTAAATTAAAGCTGAATAAAAAAAATCATGAATTTTAATCGAGCGATTTTGTACTAAGCATATTTATTTATAAAAATTATATTTTAGTAACAAAAAGTTTAACTTATGCGAAAAAACTGCATGCAACAATTAGTCTAAACACCAGACATTGTGTAAGCTGCTATGCATTAAAGCTCCGCGCAAGCTCCTGCGAACGCTACCTTGGAGCTTTCTCAACTGTAACATGAAGATCAGCGATTCT